CCGGGCACCGAGGGCTCGCAGGTACCCGCCAGGCTCCTCCGCACCCCCCGGTCCCTGCCCTGGGGCTGCCCAGGGGAACGCGGGTCCTCCCGTGCCCCCCATCCCATCAGCTCCGCCAGGGAGCATCTCCTCTTCCTCTGCGGGATCAGGCCTTCGAATCCTTTTTTACTGAAAGCCCTCATGATTATTGGACATTTAATTATAGTCATACATATAATAATTATTATCGTCAGGCTGGGGTCTGTGCTGGGGCGAGCTCTGTGCGTCACCTCCCCTTCACACCTGGAGCTGGGACTTAATGCAATTTTGCAGTAAATGTGCCAGAGCCGAATTCCTTATAATGCCTTAAAATCCCCGAGCGCTTGGCTGTGCCTTAGCCAGGTTTGGACCATTTACCTCCTAAAATCCTGAACTTTATTGCACTAACGAGGCTGTGAGCTGGAGGTTTCCAGCCGTCTGCCTGCTGCCCTGCCTCTGCACGGAGGCAGCGTCCTCATTCCCAGTGAGTGGGCAGCAGCATCCTCCCAGTGAGCAGCTCCTGCTGGTTCCCAGTCCCTTCCTAACGCCCGGGGAGCGGCGATCGGTGGCAGCACGTCCAGCCGGAGACCGCTGGAAAGAAAACAGGGGAAAAAGAACCACTCGGCTTCCAGCCTCCACCGTGGAGATGCTTTTGCATCCTGAGGGCCTGGCTGGTTGGGTGCTGGAGGGGAGCAGGGTCCCTGCAGGGTCGGGTACAGCCCCACCGTCACGCTGTGATGCTCCTGGTCCTGGTGGCACCGTCCCCGTCGCCTCTCCAGGAACCCCATGGCCCCTTGCCTCTCACACCTCTGCGACAAGGACGGGGACAGCCCTGCCTGCGCAGCCCTGCCTGCACGGGGACTCGCTGGGTGCCAGCCACCTTCACCATGGCTCTCCTTCCTCTGCCTCCACGTGCCTCCCAGAGGGATTTGGCAGGGAGAAAGGCTTTAAGTTTGCCTTCAGCAAGGAAAAACGGAGAGGTGATGCTAGTTGCTCCTTGCAGCTCCCAGCTCCCCCCTCCCAGCTCCCCCCAGCCGCCCCTGCCTCCCCATGGGAGCAGCCTCCGAGCCCTCCCGCCCGCTCTCCTCAACGCCGGCGCTCAACATTCACGGCTGAGGGTTTATTGGAGAGACAGCACAGCTCAGCTGGAAGATGAGCCTGTGATTCCTTACAGCTCCCCTGCCCTCCCGGGGACCCGCTGGGGGGGGGGGGTTCGC